TGTGTCAAAGTTCATGTTATACGGTTTTCAATACCCCGTGTTCGTTGAAATTGGAAGAATTTTTGGCTTTCCTTCATCTTGCCCAGTCGCTGTAAGTATCTCACACGGGCTATCATTGCTACTCGTTTGGAAGGCAGACCCCGGTCGGGTTTGCCCATACCGAATGTAAAGGCTAATACTCCCCAGTGTTTGCGGATTTGCATACCCAAGGGGCTATGGCGCCTTATGGGCAGATCGGGTAGGCCACCCCGCAACACTGTGGTGCTATTGGCTTTACAGACGTCGTCGTTGACCACAGCGCCTTTATGGCCTCGAGCGATGAGGCAACCCGCCCGCACTCCTGCATGCGGTGTAGTATAACTACAAAAAACGCCTGAGGTCAATCAGCTCTGTACACTGTGAAACGGGTGATGCGATGCGATGTGCGCTTGCCTGAGGTGCAGTTTTTAGTTTTTCGTTGAACCCTTTTCGAAACTGGAGTTAGCCTCTTATGGCCCCGTGCGGAGGTGCCCTCTACTAAACTCCAGTACCGGGTGTTTCATAAAAGACACATGTGCTGGCGGGTTTGCCTACCCAAGGCCCAAGGGGCTATGGCGCCTTACGGGCAGAGCGGGTAGTCAAACCCGCCCGCACCTGTGGCTTTTATGAAACACCCGGTACAGTGTAGGTGTAGGCCTCAGTAGGCAGACGGAGCACTCTGCCCGCACGTGCATCACCCACTCATTTAGGTCCGCCCCGCGGGGCAAAGTTCTTCCCCAGTATGTATATCCCTCTCCGTCTCCCCCGTGCACTCTGCAAGCAGAGTGTGAACGATCATCGATGGCTGTCATCAGCAAGAGCTGATTTCAGTCGGCCTCACGCTCAGGGAAGAAGACTTCGTCTCATCCTCGTGGTTTCATTGACTCTACAGTTGAGTAGAGAGAAGTGAAGACGTACTACAGAAATGATCCTGTGAAGTACAGTCTTAACTGTTGACCGTTTTCTCGGCGACCCAGGTCGGCGTAGGTTGGTTGTTCCCCGCGAGAGCCAATGCCCTCATAACACTACATAACTTCTACCACCCCGAGTTATCTGTTCGACTGGCGGGGAGGGTATAAGCTTTCTTGTACGGTGCTGTTAATCGCAGGTCACGTGGTCGGGGATCGCACTCGTGGCGCCATCTGTTGGCGGGCCGCCGAACGCGCGCCAAACTTTCGAACCTCCTCGCGCGCCCGTCCCCCGCCCGCACTGTCCAGCCGCTTCCTGCTCGTGGCTTTGGTCCAGTACAGCACCATGCGGGCCACCATCGGCGTCTTCCTCGTCGCCCTCTCCGCGCCTCTCCTCCAGGCCAGGGTGAG